AAAAAACAAAACCCATAATATTTTACTTGTTTGTCAAATCTCTATAATTTGCCACTTCATCAACATTACAAATTAGCTAAGTATAATAATAAATACTTACATCCTTTCGTTGGTATGATGATGGTTTGGCCTCCGTCAAGTGGCACACCCTTCGCTTCATCGTCGATTTCGTTGCCGAATAGCTCAGAGCGGCCGGTGATTTTCATATTTCTGCGCTTTGCTTGTGGTCGGATGTGGAAGTTGTATTTGGTGGCCATGCGAAGATTATCGATTTGCGCAGCATAATGACGTACCCGTCTACTGATTATAGAGATTGTTGGAAAGCCAAAGAAGATTTCAATGAGTAAAGAAAAAATTACAAATTGTGAGCATTTTTATGTTCTAATTCTGTTCCGTTCTGTATCTTTTTATCAGTGACCCAGTTGTTCTTAACTAGGTAGAAGAGTTAACACTTGCCTGCTTTTCGCCTGCCCAATTTCCACATTATTGTTCTGGCGGTTCTTTCTGCTGCTGCTGCCGGTATGATTACTGTTGCCATTACTGTTGTCGTTGTTACCGTTTGGTTCCAGCTGTTGAGTTTCGTTGACTAATTTGGAGCGACAGCGATGCGGTCCAAATGATTGCAATTCACAAAAGAAAATCTGAAACGCTTTCGGCGGTTCCACTTCGGCGCTGCTGTTGGTGATAGCATCAATATCGGTCGCTTGCGACAGCAAATCCGAGTAGGAAGGCACAAACTCCACTTCCCAGGTTAAATTAACGGATTTATAATTCGGCTCACCAGAAACACTTCGTATCTCTGTAATTAGAATAAGTAGACAAAGGAAAGGACGTAATTATATAGTTTCGCGGTAAGTGTTGAATTTTATGCCTGCAAACATTTTTTTTTTTAGTATTGATGTTGTGGCAAATCTAACTAAGTACTTAAAACTAGGCAGCAAAAGATAATTTTTTTAACGAAGAAAATTTGCCTTCCCAAAGTAAACCATTTACTTCTGCCTCAGTTTTTTAACGCCTGTCAAACAACTACATAATGGCAGAGTGTTTTTTAATGAGCGACTTGAAAGTTTGCCATTAACTATCAAGAGTCGACCACTAGCTGAAAAAAACACTTTATATTGGATGTTTCTCGGAAAAATTTCTTGCCGAATGATATTGCGATCCTCCAACCACTCGACCACCACTACTGTAAACTAAAATAAAACAACGCGTATAGAAAACAGCATTAGGACTACAGGCTGGTCATTGCACTCTTTTTGGGCTCCGTTCAATCTGTTTTAGATCTACGAATGAATTATTCTCATACTCTTCAAAACAATTCCTGCCGCTCACAGTCAGGTGTTTATGCCACGCAAAATAACTTGTCAGCAATCACAGAAGCTGCTTGCACTGTGAATGCCAATAGCAAAAGCCTCTGAGATTCAAGGAAACATGTGTTTTGCCCTCCGGCAACCAATCGAAGCCTCGCTGTCATTACTGCGCGAAATATTCACCTACCTTTTGACGGTTGCTCCGATGGCCGAAGGTGGTAGAGGTATAAATCAGCTATCGGACCAAGGAAGGCCGCGTCTGGGCCGTTCGTTTTCGAACTGGCTGCTGAGATAGGTCGATCTTGCACTCAGCCATCGATATATATTTGAAGTGTACTATATTTTTTCAGATTTTTTTGAAAAAGTACTATAAATTTCTTAGAAAATGTTGACAACCCTAGTGGTAACCCTGGTCACTCGAGCTTTTTGATCAACCAGCGAAGAGGAGTACGGCTGATAAGTGGACCGGTGCTCTGCTTTGCTCTCTCGGCCATTGCGATTGCTGGAGCGCCACCTGCGAAATGTCATACTCGTTCCTTTCAAAGGGGATGAAGTAAAATGTCTAATTTATTTAATAATTTTCGAAAAAAAAAATTATTTTTTTTGGTTTTGTTATTTTTTGGCCTAATAAATCATATTAAACATTTTTTATTGAGCTTGAGGACGTTTTATTTAAAAAAATTATTGTGAAAAAACTACAATGGTTTTTAATGGTAGAAGTTATAGCTGCTATTTCGGAGATCCCCACATATCCTCATCAGATTTCTTCACTAGTGAAGGGCACAAATCGTAACGGCGTGAACGAGCAACTCGTCACGTAAAAATGCCTATTTCGGATTATATCAGTCGTGAACGTAATGTTCGTCTCGTATACCGAATAACGATATTCACGCACGCTTTTGACACTTGACATTTGTCATCTTCTGGTATTCTCTGCATTGATTATTGCAATTTTCGTTATCATTCTGTAATCCGCTCTAGTATGTAAATATTACGAGTAATTGCATCAGCAGAGTAAATGCATAAATTTATGTGCATAAATCCAAATATCGTACGGACACTCCACAACTAATTGTCACTCTGGTTGGTGCGCTTTTGGTTGTTTCATGCGAAAGTATCATAAATCAAGAATCATGCTTAAGCAGTGGCAAGTACGTCAACGGAATCCACATCGTGGCACACAAGGCTCTCTACCATACCCCACTCCTATCTGTGACAGGAACGAGTATTCTATATGCATGCTCTTAATGTTTGCCAGTTGCAACATCAACTCGTAAACGGATGCTGGTTGCTTGTATTTATTCCTATTATTTTCTGGTTGCAGCTGTTGCCGTTGTTCTTATTTGTTATTCTATCTGCGCATGCATTCATATATGTATATTAGGGCGGGTCGATCTGTGGGGGCCCAAAAAAAATACCAGAGGCACATCACGATTATGATTATTTAAGCCAGCGATTTTTTCTATCAATTTATTTATTTTTTTCAAAAAGTGGTGCACCTGTTGCAACAGCTGTATTGAAAACTAGCCAAAATATGTATCTGGGGGTTTTATGTGTCGAGAAATCCATTTCTGGCATTAATTTTTTCTTTTGAGAGCCGCCGTATTTTTTTTTTTTTTTTTAATTTTAACGCCTTTCTTCAGAAAATCCACAAGATTGTTGCGAAAATCCACGAAATTTGACTTTCTCATAATGCAATTTAAATTTTTATATAGCCTAAAATGTCCAGTGTTGAAAATTTATTTTTGTTTTTTTTAATTTTTATTTATTGTTTTTTATTTTATTTTAAATATTAAACACTGTATGAAAATTAAAAAGCATGCTGTCACACATGTCGTTTGTCATACAATATGTCGATAAATAGTATTACCAAATAGTATTAAAAAAACACGTTATACGTATTAAAAACTGAAACATTAGAAATTGTTTATGTTTTTTTTTGTCATTTATATTTACATTTTATATGTTTTTATCTTTTAACTTGAATTTTTGAAAAAAGAAAATTATATTAAAATAAGAAAAAAAATTGTTTTGTAAAATTCAGACAACAAATGAAAAAAACCAAGAAATCTTTGTCCTAATTGAATAAAATCGATATAAGTGGTGCATGAATACACCTCCCTTCCCCCTAATTATCAACGCTGAACATTTTAGGCTATTTAAAAATTAAAATTGCATTATGAGAAAGTAAAATTTCGTGGATTTTCGCAAAAATGTTGTCGATTTTCGGAAAAAAGCCTTCAAATCCAAAAAAAAGTACGGAAGCGCTCTCTGGTGGCCCTCAAAAGAAAAAATTAATACCAGAAATGGATTCCTCGACCCCAAAAACCCCAGATACACATTTTGGTTTGTTTGCAATACAGCTGTTTCAACAGGTGAGCCACTTTTTGGAAAACAAATTTATAGAAAAAATCGCTGGCTCGAAATTCATTTTAAACCTATGGTTTCTTGGGCAAAAATGCTTGAAATGACCCAAATAGCCATAATCGCGATGTGCCTTTGATGCAAAAAATTTGACCCGCTCTAATGTATATACATACGTACACACACGCTACTGGCTATATGAATGTGACTAGTTATTCCCAAAGGTACTACAACGCATGCGCACAAAGTCGCATCACTAAATACTTGCTGTTACTTGTTGCCACCGGCTGTGGGGCAATGAGAATTCGTGTTGCTGTGTTTTGTTTTCATGCGTTTGTGACTTCAATGGTTACCCCAATATCTTGGTTGCATCGCAATTCTAACATTTTAATTACTCCCTCAGGAGTTCTGTTAGAATTGAAGAAAAGTGGTATTCGACCAGCTCGTTAAATTTGATGCCACCGACGTCGCTAGTTTTCCCACTATAACAATGACAATAAGTAAGTTAAGTATAGGTGGTTTTGCTAACACTTAAAATTTACTATGGAGTCCAGTAAGATACAATTTGACTTGGTCATTTTTATCAACATTAAAAATTAAATCACCTTCTTACCCAGTTTAAAGTGCATTATTCTAAATAGAGAGCTGTCGTAAAATCCTAATATCGATAAATTATAAGGCAAATGGGACGTTTACTGTTGGAGGGAGCTATTAGTAAGGTAGGAGATGTTATTTCCTGGCACGCATCGAACCACGTCAGACAAGTTCCACTATAGCACTTAACGCCATGAGTAATCCACTGTCTGTTGATATTTCAGGTAAATTCGGCTCAACCTGTGCTGCATTCAAACTTCCAGAGCACTAGATGCTTAACTAACTCAGATATTTCCACAGTCCAGAAAGTCCTTGTTGTCGTTCTTCTTGATATGTAGGTACTGTGACACTACTATACTCAATCCCAACTGGACTCTGGCCAACGTAAGCCATCCATGTCCGTGGTGCGCTAACAAACTGGTGTGAGGGGAGGCTTCGGTGGGGCCACTCGGACTTATTCGGTTTAAGCGCCCACTACAGTCTATCAGTACAGCAGCATTTGTTCTGAACGATTTGTCTATAAGCACGGGCCTGTTGTCTTGAAGCAAACGGCTCGCTATACACCAGTATCGAAGCATCCATAAAGCCATTTGGGTCTCCCCTGATCAAATAGGAAAGACCAAACTGATAACTGATATAGGAGTGTCGGAAATTCAACGTGGAAGAGCTACTGCCACAAACGACCCCCGAGAACTTTCGCAGTTTACTCTGAATCCTGCTTAAACGAGAAACTTTTGAACGACCGGATATAAATGAGCAGTGGGAATCGATGTACGATTCTCTTTGTATCACTGAGATGGGCTACTAAATGTTAGCCATACAGGAACAGCTAGTATGACAAAATGTGCAGATTCTGCAAAGAAATACGCATCATTCCGAACCGCGCGACAATTGAGCGCTACCACGAAAAAATAGAGTAAATACATACGTATTTAGAAAAAATAGTGCAGAAAAGCGTGAATGTGGACAGTTTGAGTTGCCGGCAGTTAGGAATGCGGCGCTAAAATATTATCAAAAAATAAGAATAGCGACACAGGTGGCGCTACCTCGCTACGTTCATGGATGAAATTACCAGGAAAGCAGACAGGTGTGCCTCATGTAAGCTGAAAAAGCAACCACATAACATTTCTTATCCCGGGTGGACCGAGGAGAGTCAAGAAAAATTCTTCATCTCCAAACACCGGACCTATCGATTTTTGGGCGTTTCGACAGGATACTGTCTGACTGCAATTTACGCGGTGATACTAAATATATATAGCACGTAATATTTTCTGAACACTTAACTCTAAACTGTAAACACTTTTCCAGGCTTCACACGCAAATTGGGGAACATCTCTTCCGAAACGCAGTTACATACTCTTCTCACTAGCTGAGCAGGTAGTTGTATATACATGGGCATCGCCAGCATCGAATTTAGGAGGAGAAATACTTGCTAATATTAAGCATTTGAATTTAAGTATATAATAAAACGTCATATTCATGAATATACTCCAATATTTAGCTCAAGATTTAAATAAGAACTTCGTGAAAGACAAAAT